CCTGAATTACTGAACCTACTATTATTGTACTAGTTGAACAACTGAACCTACTATTATTGTACTACTTGAATTACTGAACCTACTTTAGTAATGTTTCCCATGTACTACCTGAATTACTGAACCTACTATTATTGTACTACTTGAATTACTGAACCTACCGTTAATGTACTACTTGAATTACTGAACCTACTTTAGTAATGTTTCCCATGTATTACCTGAATTACTGAACCTACTATTATTGTACTACTTGAATTACTGAACCTACTATTATTGTACTACTTGAATTACTGAACCTACTATTATTGTACTACTTGAATTACTGAACCTACTATTATTGTACTACTTGAATTACTGAACCTACTTTAGTAATGTTTCCCATGTACTACCTGAATTACTTATCATAGTTGACGAACATTCAATGACTATTTCAAATTCGAAGACGAGGAACCCACTTTGAAACTAATAATGCTTAGAGATGGCTTGAATGGGTAATGAAGAAAAACTTTAATATATGTTTAACATAACAGCAAATGTATAACGTTTCGATAATTACCTGATGATGACAAAACCTTGTCGAAACGTTGTACATTTGCTGTTATGTTGAACTTATATTAAAGTTTTTCTTTATTACCCATTCAAGCCATATCCAACCATTATTCGAAGACGTTTGTCAAAGCGCTGTGTACTTCAAAGTATATTCCAGTTTTAATATTTAACAAACTATAGTTGTTACTAAGATAACAGGCAAGTATTTAATTTACCTCAAAACCGATCACAAAGAGAAACTTCTGAGCTAGGGTTAAAGACTGGCCAAATTCCGATGTAAAAGCAATGAGGAAAGCATTACTTATAACCCCGAGGACGTTCATAAACCTCAGAATATGGAACCAGATACCTGGAATAAAAAGTAGGTAAATAAGAATAGGTATTGTGTTATATAGTTTTCTTTCTTTTTCAACATTAGGTAGAGAAGGTAACAATCTTAGATAACTATCTGCCATAGCCTGAGGTGGTAACTGTGTCATCCGGTAAGACTTCGAGTTTATAAAATTAACATTTTGGATTCGAGTCCTGTGGTGAGCACAGCACAAATAGCCCACTGTGCAGATTTGTTCTCAAGGTAAACATAAACATTGTAAGTGGTAAATTAAAAAGGAAAGATCCAAACCAACCTTGATCTGAACGTTACTAGTTTCTCTTGGTCTTCATCTCACCCACTTGATCAAGAAAGACTTTTGTATCAACTTCTCTGAGTCCAGCTGTCCAAACCAACCTTGATCTGAACGTTACTAGTTTCTCTTGGTCTTCATCTCACCCACTTGATCAAGAAAGACTTTTGTATCAACTTCTCTGAGTCCAGCTGTTTTTTTTTTTATATTTAGACCCCATATTTCTTGGTATGTTTTGTTACATGTGTTCTTGTCTCTGTTGTCACGTTTCTTCAGATGCTCGTTATACACTTCCTGTGTTCTTTATGCATTTCACGTATTTTGTGTGTTCTTTATGCACTTCCTGTGTTTTGTGTTCTTTCTGCACTTCCCACGGGTTAAGCTACTACCACAACAGATTTGTATACAAAAAGATAAAACCCATGGGCTAAGCTACAACTACCACAGATTTGTATAGAAAAAGTGGAAGTTATTTTATTTTATTTTATTACAGTAAAACATTATTGTGAATCAATGAATCTCGTTATGTTATAGCATAAAAAAATATTTATCACATGTTCAACGTCTCACCAACAGTTTATTGTACAGAAACTTTCTGATAAAGACATGAACAATAGCTTATCAGCGCCATCTACAGTACATCATATTAATAATCGAACATGACAAAGAAAAAAAAACACTTGTTTTACTTTTGTCTACTTGTTACTCAATCAACTCGTTGCCCTATTAATTTACGTTAGTTAAATAAACAAAGTTACCCACCAATGTCATTATCACGGAAAGGAATTGGCCTCCTGTTCCACCACAATAACCTTTTACCATCCACCCGGAGGTCGATTATGTTGATTATTAGTGCAAGGAGAGGTGCTAATGGAAAGGAAGCAGCAAAAAGCTGCACAAGTAAAAACAACAAAAGTTATATTATAAGTGTTGTTGTTTTTACTTGTGATTGGGGGACTGGGGTATAACTGTTGTTTTTACTTAACTTACAGTAAACAACTTCAGTGATTGGGGTATAACTATTGTTTTTACTTAACTTACAGTAAACAACTTCAGTGATTGGGGTATAACTGTTGTTTTTACATAACTTCAGTGACTAGGATATAACTGTTGTTTTTACGTAACTTACAGTAAACAACTTCATTGATTGGGGTATAACTGTTGTTTTTACTTAACTTCAGTAACTGGGGCTGAAGTTGTTTACTGTAAGTTAAGTAAAAACAACAGTTATACCCCAATCACTGAAGTTGTTTACTGTAAGTTAAGTAAAAACAACAGTTATACCCCAGTCACTGAAGTTGTTTACTGTAAGTTAAGTAAAAACAACAGTTATACCCCTAATCACTGAAGTTGTTTATTGTAAGTTACATAAAAACAACAGTTATACCCTAGTCACTGAAGTTGTTTACTGTAAGTTAAGTAAAAACAACAGTTATACCCCAGTCACTGAAGTTGTTTACTGTAAGTTAAGTAAAATCAACAGTTATACCCCAGTCACTGAAGTTGTTTACTGTAAGTTAAGTAAAAATAACAGTTATACCCCAGTCACTGAAGTTGTTTACTGTAAGTTAAGTAAAAACAATAGTTATACCCCAGTCACTGAAGTTGTTTACTGTAAGTTAAGTAAAAACAAAAGTTATACCCCAGTCATTGAAGTTGTTTACTGTAAGTTACCGAAAAAGAACAGATACAGGCTATACATCAGTCATAGGTCTGTACTGTAAGTCAAGTGTGACAAATTAGTTCAAGTTGCTACTTTTTAAAAATTGTTAACAATTTGGTTCTGAGAGAAATCTCAAATAATAAAATGTTGAAAAAGAGAGATTCTTTTCAAAAGAAACAACAGATATAATGTAGTAACTTACTCAAGCATGAACTCTCAAACATACACAACTATCTCTGTGAAGTGTTCCTACCATCAGGTATCCATATTAAGTTGTTAATATGTTGTTAAAAAAAAACAACAGAGTTTGAGAGTTCATGCTTGAGTAAGTTACTACATTATAATATACTACTATCTCTGTTAAATGTACCTACCATCAGGTATCCATATTGAATTATCTTTTCATTAAATTCACTGAGACGAAAGTCTTCTGCATTAGGTTTCTGCATTTCTCGTAGCAAGTAATGCATTCTAGAATGACCCTCAGAAGGAGAAAAGTCATCCACCTTCGTGCCTTGACATCTCCGAAACATCTTCTTTAAAAGCCTGTTGTTTATGTTAACGAAGCACAGTTACTATTTCTTGCTCTTTATTTAATAATTAATTATATTCAGATCAACAAAAACAAAGACATGAGCAAGGTTAAAATGGAGAACAAACAAACATCTTACTACAAAAATGTTCCAATATGTGCGTGTGCGTGTTAGTATCCCTCACCCAGAGTTGTCCAACTCAATTACCATTACTTTTTTTTGTAGGGTAACTGGAAACCTTAACGGCATACATTGACTATTTTATTTTAGGATTGATTCCCGAGAAGAAGGATAAATAAAGAACTTAAATATGGAACATTTTCTTATAGGCTTTTGGCTTTGAATATAAAGACACAAGTGCCTAATCAAGTATTCCCTTCCACAAAGCAGGGTAAGCAATTAACATCTAATGAGGTCATTAGGGATTTAATAACCAAGGAAAGAATATTATCTAAAGTTGTCCTTTTTATTTCCTTAAAGGGTACTCTCAGCTAGTGGAAATGAAAAGAGTATTGTTGCGTCAGCGAGGTCACGTGACTAGTATCACGCCACCTCCTTCTAGAAATATTCTGTTCCTTCGTGAATTGTCGGGAGACTACTAGATTGGGGGTAGTCTGGTATATATAAGATTGTCACAACGTGACGGAACAATGACCGATACACTTAATTTCAACAGTCGCGCTATAACAAACGTCTCATGTGCTCAACTTCAACAATACTCCGTTCAATTACACACTCTCTGACTGCAGTTCAATTACTCATTACCTCGTCACGTTGTGACCATCTTATATATACCAGACTACCCCCAATCTAGTAGTCTCCCGATAATTCACGAAGGTTCGACTACCTTTTACTCTGGTAATTCTCAGATTCAGCCTTTGTTTCTCCAACCTTTTATTCCAGTAATTTTTGCATACCTTTGGCCTTTCTTTGTAGTATGTTAAATTATATATGTTTTTTCATTCATTTTTGCTTTGTTAATTTCTGTGTGCCTTTGTTCTTTCTTTGTATTCTGTTAATTTTTATTCTCGTTTTATGTTATATTTTTTTACTTTGATTATTTTTCTTTCTTACTATGCTAATTTCTATATTTCTCTCTAGCTTGTTGATTTTTGATAATTTCTCCTTGCTTTTTAATATTTCTATTTATGTACTTCTCATTCGTTCCTGTAAATGTTGCTAAATCCTATGTGTTGTTATTTTTATTCTTCTACAGTATTTATTATATCTTTCTCCTTCTGTTTCTACTCTGTCACTTTTCTTTCTTTCTCTGTTCTATATACTGTTACATCTCCATTCGTTAGTTAATTTTCCGTAAATTCGTTCCGACGAAACTTTAGCGACACAAGTCCTTTCTTAAATAAAACTGGTTTATTCTTTCTGAATATAACTTTAAGAAACAAAGGCTGAATCTGAGAATTACCAGAGCAAAAAGGTAGGAGAAATAAAGGCAGAATCTTAAAATTACCAGAATAAAAGGTAGGAGAAACAAAGGCAGAATCTGAGAATTACCAGAGTAAAAGGTAGGAGAAATAAAGGCAGAATTTGGGAATTAACACATTGAAAAGAGAAGTAAAAACAAAGTTTAAGAGTAGTAAATAGAATTAATGAAAGAAAACATTAAATTATGAGCATAGAATGTCTCTCATATTGAAATAACATTGATTTTATATTATTGATTAAGATTTACATGTGGAATTAACATATGGATTGAAATGATTTTTAGGGACGTGTAGAAAGTGTACTGAAGTTAACAGGTTTGTTTTAATTGAATGTAAATAGTAAAAGTAAGGGATTTGATAGGACTAATGTAATATTATTTTCAACTTTTTTGTTAGGTTCAATGGCTTTCACAATTTTCATGTCTCAATTTACTATCCTCTTATTCTGTTAAATGTATTGTTTTGTATCCTTTTATCATGTTTAAATATGTAAATAAACAATAAATTCAGACAACATAATATTAGATATTCGTATTCCATTGTAAACGTTTGATACCTACGGTATGATAATGTCTTGGAAAAATTTTGGTACAGGTTTAATGATCATCAATGTCAACAGTTGAAAAGACAACAATGACATGCAATTGTTGTTTCCAGTGTCTCCACAGTTATCTGTATACTCTGCCCCAAGTCCGAATATTCCATCAGTTCCCATGTCCTGTTAGAATAAGTTAACATGTGTTACTATATTATGTTATTATATCATCCTATTAAAAGCACGTTCTATACTGTGATATTAAGTATTATGTTAGTTTATAAAGCTGTTAAACAGTTGAGGATATTTAGAAATATCGCTTACCTGTCTAAAGAAAGCTTTTAAACAGTTGAGGATATTTATAAATATCGCTTACCCGCCTAAAGAAAGCTGTTAAACAGTTGAGAATATCTAGAAGTATCGCTTACCCGTCTAAAGAAAGCTGTTAATCAGTTAAAGATATTTATAAATATCCCTTACCCGCCTAAAGAAAGCTGTTAAACAGTTGAGAATATTTAGAAGTATCGCTTACCCGTCTAAAG